CTGGCATACAATTTAACCATAATAGGATTGTACTGGCATACAATTTAACATAATAGGATTGTACTGGCATACAATTTAACCATAATAGGATTGTACTGGCATACAATTTAACATAATAGGATTGTACTGGCATACAATTTAACCATAATAGGATTGTACTGGCATACAATTTAACATAATAGGATTGTACTGGCATACAATTTAACCATAATAGGATTGTACTGGCATACAATTTAACATAATAGGATTGTACTGGCATACAATTTAACCATAATAGGATTGTACTGGCATACAATTTAACATAATAGGATTGTACTGGCATACAATTTAACCATAATAGGATTGTACTGGCATACAATTTAACATAATAGGATTGTACTGGCATACAATTTAACCATAATAGGATTGTACTGGCATACAATTTAACATAATAGGATTGTACTGGCATACAATTTAACCATAATAGGATTGTACTGGCATACAATTTAACATAATAGGATTGTACTGGCATACAATTTAACCATAATAGGATTGTACTGGCATACAATTTAACATAATAGGATTGTACTGGCATACAATTTAACCATAATAGGATTGTACTGGCATACAATTTAACATAATAGGATTGTACTGGCATACAATTTAACCATAATAGGATTGTACTGGCATACAATTTAACATAATAGGATTGTACTGGCATACAATTTAACCATAATAGGATTGTACTGGCATACAATTTAACATAATGGGATTGTACTAGCATACAATTTAACATAATAGGATTGTACTGGCATAAAATGTAACATAATAGGATTGTACTGGCATACAATTTAACCATAATAGGATTGTATGCCAGTACAATCCTATTATGTTAAATTGTACTGGCATAAAATGTAAGATAAAAGGATTGTACTGGCATAAAATCTAACATAAAAGGATTGTACTGGCATAAAATTTAACCATATTAGGATTGTACTGGCATACAATCTAACCATAATAGGATTGTACTGGGATAAAATTTAACCATATTAGGATTGTACTGGCCTACAATTTAACCATAATAGTATTGTACTGGCATACAATTTAACCATAATAGGATTGTACTGGCATAAAATGTAACATAAAAGGATTGTACTGGCATACAATTTAACCATAATAGGATTGTACTGGCATACAATTTAACGTTTTGTTCATTCTGAATTTACAATCATGCCTTCGTTTTCTATGAATAATTTTTGTAATTTTTAATTGCAGATTTTTTTCATCACCAAGCACATTGATGCCCTCTTATCTACAGACGGAGATAAGAAATCTTAAAGACAAGTAACAGACAGTTATCTTTAAGTAATTGACCAGCACTTTTGTAATACTAAAAAGAAGAAGAAAAAAATTGATTGGGTATTTAAAGCTATTCATCAACATTAAAATGTCTGTAGCTGCATTTCTTCCATTCAGTTTCACACTGTAGCCATAGTCGTCTGTGAGGCCTATTGTAGCCAGTCGTCTGTGAGGCCTGCCTTGTTTGACAGGTTGCGATCGTCTACACTAATCAACATTGTAGCCAGTCGTCTGTGAGGCCTGCCTTGTTTGACAGGTTGTGATCCTCTACACTAATCCACATTGTAGCCAGTCGTCTGTGAGGCCTACCTTGTTTGACAGGTTGCGATCTTCTACACTAGTTTCATACTACCTCGCCAAAGTTACCTTTTTTTAACAGCTTAATATTCAATTTATTTTATAGCAGTTTGGTTGACATGTACATTTTCAGAGTGCTATTTACAAACACCTGAACCATTTAAATGAAATACAAAGTGTAATTTAAAGTGACCTATATGTTCTCCAAGTTATACCTGAAAACTTATACATGAACAAGTACATATTGTATGACTACAAGAATGTGTGTGTGAGTGATAATATGTGGATATACATTACGTTTGTACTGAAATTTGGAGGCTGAATTGAATCAAATTGTTGATAAGGATTCTTTTATTTATAATTTTGTATCATGCTTTCAGGTTATTGAAATATTAAGATACTTTACAAACCTTTTGATTTTATTTCTAATATGTGAAATACTCGTGCATTGCTCATAATATCAAAACCTCTTGTAGTTTAGCACTGTATTATTTTGAAACCTCAATAAAGCAGACCTTGAGTAAGGTCTTGCTTTATACATTTGAAGCTATGAGATTTTAATTTCTGTCTACTCTGACTGAAATATTTTTAGCATTATGGTTAATCTTTTGTGACCTTGTACTTTACAAACCTAACATGTGTTTAACACAACATGTATATCTGCTTTTTAAGATACTCGTTAGTTTGGTTACGTGAATGTGACATTTATGTTGATCCACTGTTTGCTATAACACTATACATCCACATTTGAATATATCCATTCATTGTTTGCAATAGTGACTTCTGACCTTTGACACTTTTCAAAGTCTGCTATGCTGACCTCTGACCTTTATCACCTTAAAATGCCTATAGTGACTTCTGACCCATAACAACTTTCAGTCTGCTATGGTGACCTATGACCTTTATATCCCTTAAGTGTCTGCCATAATGACCTCTGACCTGTAAAAACAGTCTGCTATGGTGACCTATGACCTTTATTACCTTTAAGTGTCTGCCATATTGACATATGACCTGTAACAACTTTTAGTCTGCTATGGTGACCTATGACCTTTATATCCCTTAAGTGTCTGCCATATTGGCCTCTGACCTGTAACAACTTTCAGTCTGTTATGGTGACCTATGACCTTTATTACCCTTAAGTGTCTGCCATATTGACCTCTGATCTGTAACAACTTTCAGTCTGCTATGGTGACCTATGACCTTTATTACCCTTAAGTGTCTGCCATATTGACCTCTGACCTGTAAAAACTTTCAGTCTGCTATGGTGACCTATGACCTTTATTACCCTTATGTGTCTGCTATGGTGACCAATGACCTTTATTACCCTTAAGTGTCTGCCATATTAACCTCTGACCTGTACAAACTTTCTGTCTGCTATGGTGATCTCTAATCTTAACCATCTTTCACTGTTTCTAAAGTGACATTTGGTCTTTAACATGTTACACTATCTGCTATACTATAGTGACCTAATCGTTATCATCTTTCACTGTCTGCAAATGTTGACGTCTGACCATAACTTGTTTACCCTTTCAACCCTATGTTACATTAGTAAAATCTTCCAAACGCTGATCTGGACAAGTCCATTATGATCTACAGTGGTGAAAGGGTAAGTTAGTGAAGCATTTTCCACTCTCTGCAATAGTGACCCTACTATAGTAAACATTCCCCAGCTGTATGCATGCTTTACTCTGCATGTCATGACAAGTTTTACCTTTGAAGTTAATGAAGTATATAGAGGATATTTGATGGTATCATCAGTAATAACAAATATAATTAATGAGTGTGACTAATATTTTGATATTTTACACGAAAAATATACCTCTATAGGAAAAGTACATGTATACAAATATAACAGAACTATAAACATGTAACAAAAGTATAACTCTATAGGAAAAAGTACATGTATACAAATATAACAGAATTATAAACATGTAACAAAAACGTATACAAATATAACAGAATTATAAACATGTATCAAAAATATACCTCTATAGGAAAAGTACATTTATACAAATATAACAGAATTATAAACATGTATCAAAAATATACCTCTATAGGAAAAGTACATTTATACAAATATAACAGAATTATAAACATGTAGCGAAAATGTACGTTTTAATTATGTAAGTAAAATGTGATTAACAATTTGAGTTATTTTGAGATGTGTATACAATGTGTTTGTTACTCCTATGTCTGTATGTAATGTGTTATAGTTATTGTGGGTATGTGATAATGATGGTATACTGTTTTACATTTTTTTTTTTTTATTATTATTATACAAAGTTATCAACAACTTGATGAATGTCGGCTTTAATCCAAATTGTGAACAATTTGTGTATGGATCAAAATAACATTTGTAACATAGTATTCCTAAATTTTGAGTAACATTCTACTTATTTGTTCTGTATTTTGAGGACTGAGCTAATATATTGACAATATGACATTTATACATTTTTGTTTGTTAAACATATACATGTTTTAATTTTTGTTGTGTTTAGTTTTTGAATAGGAATACCAAATGCATGGAAGTATATCTGTAATAGACGGGTGTCCCTTGTGATAAATCTTGTCATATGATATTGTGAATGCTGTAAGTTCTCATTGAGGATAATCAACCCTATTCAGTAATATCTGTGGATGATAGGTCACAGCTGAACACAGGGCACTGTATACACGTTTATATGTACAGTGCATTGTGACAAAGGCTAAGTCATCAGCTGGGTCAAGGGTCAAGGGGAGATCTAGGCCTCCATGGAGGATCCCCACTAATATGTACACAATCAGGGATCCAATCCTGGCTCCCTCTTTGTTTGAATGTTCAAAAATATCAAGTATGAATGCTAATGAAAATTAGGAATACAAACGGCAAGTTTGACTGCACGGACGGTTTGTTCTCCTTTCTCCCAGTTTTTTTCTGATCAATGGAATTACATAAACACTGGAAAACAATAGATGTGTCATTATAGTCAGTTCTGGTATAGTACAGGTAGATTATTTACCTGTATTTACCTGTTCACCCATAGGAAATAATGTGTTAGTTATAGGAATATTTAACAAATATATTTCCTGATTTTCGTAATATTTACTAGAATTATAAATAAATATATAAAAGATTCCAGTTTTTACTTAATAAAAACACATCAAAATACATAACCTGAAAAACCAGCTCTATTTATTTCATATTAGATAAATTTTATACATTTTTACTTTACATTTACATGTATGTTATATATATATTTTATAAAATAGAACTAAATTAACACGGTCTGACAGAACAAGGGGTAGTACAGCGGCTAGCCTTACAAGTTGTCGGACATCATCGTTGTTGGCGTAGAGTTGTTTAAGTCCGGTCTGCTGGACTTTCCTCAAAATACACTTGTATATTGGAAGAAACAGCCCTTCAAACTCACAGCTGGAAACACTGCGCAGATAGCGTTATGGGCAGCAGCCTCAAAGTCCAGGAAAACGGTGGTGGGATTGAGTTGTAGGTTGAGTTTTGTCATCTTGGTCTTGAGGAACGTAAATAATCTTTGGTATGTTGCCTGGCCCTTGCTGGGAAGAAGACTGTATAAAAGTGGGTACATCTGGTCTCCAATCCTGGCATGGACGGTGTAGATCTGGTGAAACTGAGTCGGGCACGTGTAAAACATTCTATCACAGAAGAGAGTGTCGGCGTTGCAGAGGTCTATCAGATTGTCGGATGTCGCTAAGGCCATAATCCTGGATTGGTCACCATCATCAAGTAGTAGGAATTCCTCTCCGGCAGTTGTCTGGGTCCATTTTCCTTCTAGGTTGATGTCCTGAATGGTCCTTGGTAGCTGAGGAGTCTGAGTACGTCGAGCGTTATACAGTGACTTCTTAGTGGACTGGAAGGTGGGTAGTTGTCTGACTGTGTTCTCTGCGTCGTCGTTCCAATCATCGGATCGAAGCTTGGTTACCTCCTCATCGTAGATCCTGGAAATTGGTTTCATTTCCTTCACGCAGCGGGTACGGTCTCCATAATCTCCTGGGCGACGATCTTAGCATGGTCCTGAAGGTGGTTGTGGGTATGGCGGCCGTTTCCGGTAGGGATGTTGTTTCGGGTACTAAGGGTACCTGGACAGTTGGGGATGGTACATCTCCAATATACACGCTCACCTCTGTTGTTCTTAACACAGTAAATGTATCCGTTGTAGGCGATGTTCTGTCTTCCAAACTTGTTGCGAAGAAACGTCACTTGAATTTGATCATTTGCCATGTTGGTGGTTGATAGGGAATGTGTGAGACCTCACCCTCCACTTTCTTATATACTTACAAAACATACAGCTTGGACAATCTCATTTATTTAAACAAACTTGGTAGCCCTTCATCCCAGCATGTTACTGGCCAAGTTTAAGCACCCTAGGCCTATTGGTTATTCAGAAGTTGTTTAAATGTTTCAAACGTATTTGACCCATGTGACCTAGAATGTAAGTCAATGTCATGTATTTGAACAAACTTGGTAGCCCTTTATCCCAGCATGTTACAGGCCAAATATCATCACCCTAGGACTCTTAGTTATTCAGAAGAAGTTGTTGAAAGGTTTTAAACATATTTGACCCATGTGACCTTGAATATAAATCAAGGTCATTTATTTGAACAAACTTGGTAGCCCTTCATCCCAGCATGCTTCTGGCCAAATATCATCACACTAGGCCTTTTGGTTACTGAGAAGAAGTTGTTTAAAGTAAAATGTTGACGACGGACGGACGACGGACGACGGACCATGCGATAAGCTCACTTGGCCCTTCGGGCCAGGTGAGCCAAAAATGTCTAAAACATATGAAAATAGACTATATCAAATATGACACAGGGTGGGAGAACACAAATAAAAATGTATATGACAGCACTGTACCCGGTATATATGATACAGGTAATGTGGGAGAACACAGGTAAAAACCAGGTAAAATATATATGAAACAGACTATAACTGCTATCACAACATTACTGCCTTTATGGTTTTTTTTAAAAGTGGGAGAACACACCGCACGGCAAAGTCGGCGTTATATATTTTAAAATTTCACAAAGACACCCCATCTCTTGTTCAGGTCATTGAATAAACTGTCCTGTATAGACCAGTCATCACTATCTGTAGCCCTACTGTATTTATCGGCCAACTGATTATCTGCCCTTGGCACCCATGCTGGTACTACCTCCAGCCTTTTTCTACAACAGACCTCTCTTAACCTCACCGCCTTATCATTCAATGTGGTTACTTTGCTTCCGTTTACCATAATTTTAGCCACATTCTGACTGTCAGTATACCACAGCACTTTGCGCCCTACCAGACGTTGCCCTACCAGGCAGTCGTTGTAATGTAACAACATTCTTAATACAGACTCTAGNTTAATACAGCCTCTAGCTCTCTCCAAGTCGAGCTCTCTTTGCTCTCGGCCTCAGTCCATTCACCAATTACCTCACTGTTATCAACATATAGTATGTACCCTCCATAACCCGTTGCCGATGCGTCACTATATACCACAAAATCATTCCTGTACGTCTTATCTATCAAAGAACCGTTCAAACTTTCCATTTTTGTATACCAGAATCTCACTTCGTCTAACGCTTCATTTGTAATGAATACTTTCGAATCCCAACTAACCTTTGTCAACACACAGGCGTACATATGCCTCGTCATCATCCTAACTACCGAGCCCATGGCTACTTTCATAGCAATAATCTGACCAACTAATCCTGCAAGATGCCTTGCAGTCAACGCACACCGTGCATCCGAAATGCCATCCAGCAAAGCTTGTAAAGCCGATCTCAGCCTCTGTACCTTACTGTCGGGTACGTAAACCCTCCCTTCAGAAAAGGACCAACGTAATCCTAACCAAACCGCCTCCTGACTTGGCACCCAGCTACACTTTTGTTCCGCTATAAGAAAACCAAATCTCTGTAGATCCGACCTCACAGCCCTACTGTGTATTTCGGCTCCAGCTTCCGTAACATCGCCACCAATGCCGTCATCAAGGTACATGACCACTCTATATCCATGTCTCCATATCTATATCGCCCGCCAATGTTTAATCAACACCCTAGGAACCTTTGTAAAAATATACCCTGCAGTAGAAAGACCGAATGGTAGTACGTTGAAAACAAAATAGCGAACTCTTCCTTCAATAACCCACGAAAAACCGAGGTAAGTTCTGTGTTCCGAAAAAATCTCTATATGATGGTAAGCTGACTTGAGATCGAACGTAAATGCCCAATCACCTTTCCTGAACATGTCTAATGCTACCGCTGAGTCCTCGTACTTACACTTGAATTTGTACAAACAGGGATTCACGTGTCTACAATCAAGCACTAGACGTAACTTCTCTTTGTTACCTGCCACACTCAATGGATTTACCTCCCTGGGAGCATTGTCAACTTCCTCTACACACCCTTTCAAGAGTAAAGCCTTTATCTCATTCAAAACAAAATCTCCGTTATCCCTTGCAGATTTATTATTTCTCATCACAATGTTTTCCAGCAACGAAAACAAAGGCAACTTATAACCCTCCTGTATCACGTCTAAAACATTCCGACAAACGGGAATACTCTCCCATTCATTCAATGCTTTAAGCAACATTCCTACCGGTGACCTGACCTCCGTACCTGGGATTGAACCTCGAGCACCTGACCCTACTACTCTAGTAAATTTGTTCACCGGACCGTTACCAGCCAAAACAAAATCACGTGACTTGTCCAACATTCCCTCAACTGATACGAATACGTTTCTCACTGACATACGTGCTTCCACACAACCAAAATTTTTACTTATCTTATTTGGGCCTTTCTGCATACAGTCTATCCTCCAATGACCGGGCTTTCCACACGCAAAACATGTTCCAGGACGTCTGGTCGTGCCTGTCGTCGTCGTCGCCTCTGCTGTCCCAGGCTGGCTCTGTGTATGTGTCTTCGCGGGGGCGCCATAGGGAAAATATCTCCTTTGACGTGCAGCTCTCTGATTTTTCATTTTCCGTTGAGCCCGTGCTTCCGCTCTCGAAATCCGTTTCTCATCCTCGGAATCCTCCGCCAAAGCATTCGTCTCGTACTCCTCTACTACTTTCCATCCCGTTTCAGAGGAGTCGGCTAACCTAATTAACTTCTGTCTATGTTTCAAAATGTCCATACCCTCGGCAATTTTCGTGCTGGCCCTCTCCCTGTATACGTTGTGTGACGGGTTTTCCTGCAACGCAGACTGTGCCTCCTGTAACTTGTGTTCTATCTTTGCATTTACTTTGAACTGTTCCTCGTTTCCTTTCTTCTTAAATTGGTACGGCGATATTTCCGACATTTTAGATAATTGAACGTCGGAAATAGCTCTCTGGGTTTCGTTAATTTCTTGCTTAAATGATTCCAGCTTGGACGTCATAATCTCTTCTAATTTATCTAACATATCACTCTGTGAAAACGTGCGCTGGCCCGCCATCTCGGGGTTATCTGTCTCCATCAGCAAAATTCAGTGGTCCGTTCCTAAGCTGACCAAAGCGCTAGAATGCCTAAACCTCCTTACCTTATTACGTCATCACTTACCAAGCAATCTCATTGGCTAACCATAAGAGCTCGTGCTCCCCGACCTATACGAGTACTCCGTACCTATAGGACAAATATTTCCCGCTAGTCTACGAAACGCGGGAAATTTAGAGTATTGCTACCAATAAGCCCGAGAACTGTACGGAACCGATTGCGTGAACGAGCTATCCGTCCGCGACGTCCTGCAATCCGCCCAGTTCTTCTGCCACGTCATCGTGTAGCACGTCTGGACTGGTGCAGAAGGCATCTGCGATTTACTCGACGGGATTGAGCAGGCATTTTGTTTACGGACGAGTCGCGAGTCCACCTGGATAGAAGTGACGGCCATTCCAGAGTGTATCGTCGCGTTCGAGAACATTTCCGTGACGCGTGTGTGGTACAACGACGTTCTTTCGACGGAGACAGCGTTATGATTTGGGGCGGCATCACAGCCAACTTAAGAACCCCTAGGTGGTTGTTAACGGGAATTTGAACGCGCTACGTTACCGTGACGAGATCCTCCGGACCCACGGCGTTCCATTCGTGCAAGGGCAGCAACGACACATTACGCTACAGCAGGACAATGGCAGGCCACACACAGCTCGTGTCGCTATGGACTTTCTGGCCCAGCAGAACGTTGACGTGTTACCCTGGCCTGCTGTATCCCCCGATCTGTCGCCCATTGAAGACGTCTGGGATGACATGAAGCGCAGATTATGGGCATTACCTAATCAACCGGTGACGTTGGCTGATTTGGCTGCAGCGTTACTACAGATCTGGAATACCATCCCACAAGCATTCTTGAACCGTCTGATAGGCTCCATGCGTAGACGTTACCAGGCTTGCATTCAAGCAAACGGTGGACATACGAGGTATGAACTTTGTGAACTCAGTATTGACCACTGTTGTGTTTACGTCACTCCTGAGCGGACCTAATTGATTCCATACCATGGGAAATGGAATGCAACTGTTAATAAATAACAAATAAATTGTCCCTGAAAACCTTGTTGTTCTACGTTATACACATTTATTTTTATAACACATTTTAGGCATGCACAGTTTCTTTTTTCCGCTAGTATAGTAAAAAATTAAAATTAAAATTAAAAATTAAAATTAAAAAAAAACTCATAGAAAGATTGACACAAATGTACCACATAAGTCAATTCCAAAGGGTAAAATCCCACAAAAAAATGAATCGAAACCGTTACGACACATCTCACATTTTGAAAATATTTGTCAGCATTTCCATCAACATTAAGTTTTTGCGTTTAAGTACTGGACAAATCAAACTTGGACCATGGGTGCATCTTAGGTAGTATATCGCAACCCATGCAACAAATGCTGGATCTCTACCTTGAATTTATTTAACCGATGTGTGCATTGATGGTCAAAGCGGGGCACAGGCGAAATATGTCAATCCGAATGGCTTGTTTGAAGATTCAACGACAAACCAGCAAAAATCTTATGTATCTTAAAGTACAAGTTAAAGTACAGTGTCTCATATTGTGTCCGTATCGTGTTTGTAAATTGAACACATTTTAAAAAGAAAGAATAAATATATAAATAAATAAAAAGTCTTGGTGATAGATCTGTGAACAAATAAACATGCCTGAAACGGAAAGATTAGTCATTCATTATTTTACTATTCCACATAATTTCAAAGCGTCATGCTTTTGCAACTTTTGTAAAGACATTCAAGGAAATCTCAACCTGCTCGTATAAAAACAGAATGGAATCGTATTGTCACTATTTGCAACTACTTAAAATTATTCATTCCGGTCGCATCTGTTTAACTAGTTATAGACAGGGATTTCCCTATTGTATATTTTTATTGACCACTTTGATTGTAAATACTCTGCTGAGATTGAAATTAAGGACATGACAGTCGCTCTTTTTGTTTTTATTTACAACATGACCAACTCGGACGGCTGAATTCTAAGCTGTACGTTAAGCGGGACAATTCCGATTTTCGTATCTTCAACTTTTCGTTTCTTGATAGTAGCATCCCTGCTTCCCCAACCTACGGTGAATATCCACCTTAACGCCATTATCCTTACATTAATATTGTCGGAAAAATACATGACTATAACACAAGAAGGATAACAAGCTAAAAATTGATATCTTTACATTACAGTTCTTAATTGTATTTCATGTTGCAGTAATGCAATACTTTATATATATCCCTGGAAGAAAGTATTTATGTATAAAACAAGCATAAGTGTATAATACAGATTTAAATATATCTCTGTGAATTTCATGCGCTTATTTACCTGTTCGGAAAGTTAACAAAAATAATAATGCGACAATAAAAAAATATCTGATGATACATGCACATGCTGTAATTTCCTCTATTATTAACTTGTCTGCGATATGGGTTTGTTTTGCATGTTTGATACTGTTAGCTCTGCATCGGCCTTATCCCGAACCAGCCCCTATCCGCTGGGCACGCGCCATATCTGTTTAACTTCATATTTAACACCATCGAGAATACTATATTTAGTATTCGTAGTAAATCACTCAAATAACACGATGTCATGATGTGCTCCTCCACAGCCAACTGTTTTACACAATAGGAAATGAGACAAAAGTCGGTCATTTGTTTGCCGACCAGACAGACTATTTTTACAGTTTGTGGGAAACGTACTGTTATTAACAGTATTGTTTATGTGACAAATTATCAATCATCTTTTCAATTTGCACACATCTTTAGCGTATCGACGTGGTTGTTTTGTTGCTGTTTTCGGTATAGAATTTTTATGTCATGCACATTAATACGATACTAGTCATGCTTTTTTGCATGTGAAATAATGGTAAGGCATTATATTACGCTCTAGGTGGGTTTTAGCGATAAATTATGTGCATTATTAATAACTTCCCGATGGTGATAACGGTACATTAATTAGGCACAAAGGTAGCAGAACGTTAGCGGATGTTACTGTGAGGTGAAGTTGACATAATCATACTGTGCATAGGTTAGAAACGGGGCGTTGCCTAAGTGGAGCGTAACATAATCTTTCAACATCGTGATCAGGATTGTTACATATGGTAGCACCCGGTCGATAGGTGGTTCATAGGGACCGAGTTATATTTAGTTTGTTCTCTCGTAAAGTGGAATTTAAAACAAAAATGAAGTAACTTTATTGATATACATGCAGGACTTGTGATCAGACTTGTTCATCAAACAATCATAAAGAAGAGATGGGTTTTACACTCTAGGGAATATATACAGAAAAAGTCCCTAAAGAGCTGGTAGCTATGTTTAGTTTTACTTGCTGAATGTACATAGAGGAAAGTAACGATGATACACTAACCTTGTACGGATTTTGTCTTAGAAATACACAACAAGGACAAGAAGCGGTCATTACAGATACTATTACAAGGCACACGGGCAGCCGATCAGACAAAGGAACAATACGATTTTCAAGATGAATCGGTTAGTCGAAACAGGGAAGAACTTCATGGGCTACACTTCACTGCATGGACTTTCACGGATAGCAGACGCAAAGTTCTGGTTAAAGAAGTTGGTATGGTGCTTGCTATTTCTGGGGTCCCTTGGCATGTGCGTCTTTCAAGTGACTCGTCTTTTTGAACAGTTCTACAAGTAAGTATGCATCACATTGTCATACATCAACAATAATTATACCCCCGCAACGAAGTTAGGGGGGAGGGGGTATACTGGAATCACCCTGTCTTGATGTCTGTCTGTCGTCCGCAGTAACTTGTCCGGAAAACTCCTCCTTACTTAACAGGTGGATTTCATTGAACCTTTGCATGAATGATCAGTATCTTATGTCGTTGTGGATCGGCATTTTAATTTGGGATTTCGACCCTTTTTTATGGAGTTATGCCCCTTTTTGCATAATACTTGTCAGGAAAACTCCTCCTTAATTAACAGGTGGATTTCATTGAAACTTTGCATGAATGATCAGTATCTTATGTAGTTGTGCACCGGCATTTTAATTTGGGATTTCGACCCTTTTTGATGGAGTTATGCTCCTTTATGCAAAATACTTGTCCGGAAAACTCCTCCTTAATCAACAGGTGGATTTCATTGAAACTTTGCATGACTGATCAGTATCGTATGTCGTTGTGCAACGGCATTTTAATTTGGGATTTCGACCCTTTTTGATGGAGTTATGCCCCTTTTTGCGAAATACTTGTCCGGAAAAATCCTCCTTAATTAACAGGTGGATATCATTGAAACTTTGCATGAATGATCAGTATCTTATGTAGTTGTGCACCGGTATTTTAATTTGGGATTTCAGCCCTTTTTGATGTAGCTATGCCCCATTGTGCGAAATACTTGTCCGTGCAACTCCCCCTTAACTAACAGGTGGATTTCATTGGAACTTTGCATGAATGATCGGTATCTTATGTTGTTGCGCACTGGCATTTTAATTTGGGATTTCAACCCTTTTTGATGGAGTTATGCCCCTTTGTGCGAAATACTTGTTTATTTTTTGTCATTTTTTGTTTTTGTTTTTAATAAAATAATTATTACCATAACTCATTATTGGTGGGAGACCATATTGCTTTGCTTAAGGAAGCCTGTAGCGCACAGTTCTGGTTTATATAGGAGCGGGGTATTAGTTAGCCTTTGGCTTACAGTTCTAGTTAAGTAATGTTTTGTTCTTATTTTGTTGTATCCATATATGTATAGTCAAATGTTCCCTGAAAAAGCTACCAACGGAACTGAGGGTGAGTATGTATGCCACATTAGCGGTGACTATTACGAAGACATTCCTTTAATTCTAGATTTACACTGAATTTGGTCATGTGAACAGGAAGATTATATAATGCCAAGTATTCCTTATGTATAGGTATAATTTCTGATCACAGGAAATATTGCCTGAGGTATATATGACCTGAACAATTCTTGATCTGCAATTCACCTGAAAATAGGTCAAATTCAAGTCAAACCCACTCGAAAAAATAATCAGTTAAATCTTATATCAATTTCAGTTCAAGGTTTCACTCGATATTGACTTGTTGTGTGGGTTTTTTCAGGTAAACTTTACCTGAAAATGAACCCAAATTTACATCAAGAAATGTTTTCTGTGTAATTCACTATGGTAACTAGAAATTCATGTAAATATATATGTAGCTCTTTAGAGGTCAATATTTCAGTTTTCAAATTTTACTTAATACTGTAATCAATACAAAATTTTAAATGAGAAAGAGAAACTAAGTGCAAAATACATTATGAAGAAGCAATCTTTTATTCCATGACAGAACAACAACCATTATTCTTGTGTGCTTTTGTTACTGTTTAATTCGAATTATATAGATAATCAAGTTAATCAGGTTATGTTTGGTTGAGTATATATAGATAATTCGACTTAATCAGGTTATGTTTGGTTGAGTATATATAGATAATTCGACTTAATCAGGTTATGTCAGGTTGTAGTTCGAATTATTCTGACGTTTTATCGACTTTTTTATATCGGTCTGTTAATCGACGACAGACCGATATAAAAAAGTCGATAAAACGTCAGAATAATTCGGACTAGTCAGGTTCATACCACAGGATGGATATTATATGTTTGACGAAAACAAACCGGTATTCTTTTAATAAGATTCATACACTGTACAATAATGGCATTCTTGGAGAACAATTGAAACTGTTGTCTCGAATTGCTTTTCTACAGTCTCCTGTGTGTGGGCAACGGTTCCCGCAGGTCTTCGGCAAACACCACTGACAGACAAAAGGGTCTGGTTATAACGACTTCGTTTTCAGTTATGACAACTTGTTGTCTCGTTATAACGACTAAACATCCAATTACTATGCAACGGTATTCCATAAATATATACATATATATATATATCAGTTCCCATGATGAATCCCTAAAGAGGTGAAAACGCTAGGGAGGTACTAAGAAACTCTTGTCACTTGTTTTTTTATATACATCTATATGTATATAATGAGTCATTATCAGAAATTGTCAATTGTCTGAATTAAAAAAAATATGCAAAAAAAACATCAATAAACAATCAATTTTATTTAACCAAACTGAAGTACATATATCAGTATTTAATTATTTCAATACCGGAAATCTGAAATATTACCTGTTTGGTTACCATAGCAACGGAAATTTGGTAATTAAGGTAAAAATGTCCATTATGTTACCAATTTTAAAATTGATTTTTGTTAGGTAAAAAACAGGAACTTTAACTTAAATTTTGTTTTATTTAGAACAGCAGTACAATTTTATAAGTAGGACATGGACAATAGTTTCCTCAGTTTTTTCGTTAGGGGCAAAAATCAAACTATATCATTGGCTTAGGTAATTGCATACTGACGGGGTCTGTTCCGAATATAATTTTTAATGTAAAATGCATATGCTTGTTCATGAAACAACTATATATAAGCTTATGGTTATAAATTGAAAAAACATGAGCAAAAAGAACCGAAAATAGGCAATGCTGCAAAAAGTATTGGGATATTTAGTTCAAATAACATAATGGACATTGCATGTAACATAATGGACGTTGGTAACATAATGGACATTTAATTGAAATCAATGGACAATTATAATGCAATGAAATGTCCGTTGTGTTACTAGTAAAACAAGAGTCGATAGTACATCAATATGTAAGCCGACAATGAACGACGCGACAGCATTTCAATATTTAGTATGTATCAATTTTTTCCAGGATTTTTAACATTACTTAAACTGCTGCTGTACATAGTATGCTCTATATAAAGATGGTGCATATCACAATTATTACAGACCGGATCAATAATTGCTGATATTTTCTAGTGCTGTCCCGATGATTAATTAAAATCGAAAACTAATCGGTTACACAACCAATTGCGATTAATCAATTATGAAATCCCATAATCGATTAATCGGTCGAAATTATTGCATGCTGTTTTTCTATTGCTATCTGATTAGCATCCACCTAAAAAACTACTTATGCTTTGGTTAGGAGGTAAATTTTCCTAACAAATATGTTTTTTGGCCAAGTTCGAGCCAAAGTTCAAAGTGTATAAATGGTTTTTAGTAGCAGGTGGACATAAGTCAACCCTTGATTTTAAATTTACATTGCAAACTAATACAATTTGGATTACCTCGCTAACCGATTAATAATCGAAAATCGATAAAAAAAACACTTGCACCGATTACAGCTGATCATCGATTATGAAATAAAAACCGATTCCCAACACTACTACTTTCCTGCCTAAGGAATTATAAAGCTATAATAAGGCGATACTATACTTTCTGGTTACAAATCTTATTGGGGACACACAGTTAACAATTAAAAACATTATTTGTGTAATTAAAATAAAATGAAAGTATTTCGTTCACACGCACATATAATCTAAAATTTGCTAAGGATCACATTTACTAAATTCTTGGCCGCAAAAGAAAGATATGAAATACATACAACAATAATTAACGGTACTACAGGTGACATTGTACTCTAGATCTACACGAACGCGTCATTCGGGGTAACAAGAACTTTTGAACAGTGCTTAACATCAAACTGGATGAATTGTACATGAAGGTATGTGAAGCTAAATGCTCATACATGAACCTATTAATATTAATATTAATAATGTGTAGGCGATTTAGATCAAATTTTAGTAGTATCACTACTAACACAGGTCAGTTTAAACACGAACACAAAGCATGCCACCTCATGAGATTATTTGCACCCATGATTTTATAATGAGCAGTGATTTTGTCATCTTTACAGGTGGTGGGATAGAAGTAACAATGCTATCATACCGAAACTAGCATTGATCTTTCTTTTGCGGCCAAGAAAACAACACTTCTTTTCCTTTCATCTTTTTCTTCATACATTCAATAAACAATTCCTTTCTGACCTCATCAATCTTCCGAATAATGCCAGGGAATGGTTCCCCTTGATATCGAACACCAACATAATCTCCAACATTTCTATATAGTTCGCAATCATTCAATCTTCCCTCATCCGCCCTCGTAGCATCACTCCCCTGTTCGAGCACCGCATCCACCCTCGTAGCATCACCCCCTGTTCGAGCACCTCATCCACCCTCATATCATCACCCCCTCATCCACTCTCATAGCATCACCCCCTCGTCCACCCTCGTAGCACCACCCCCCTCATCCACCTTTGTAGCATCACCCCCCCTCATCCATCCTCGTAGCATCACCCCCCTCATCCACCTTCGTATCATCACCCCCACCCTCATCTGCCGTCGTAGCATCACCCCCCTCATCCACCCTCGTAGCATCCCCCCCCTCATCCACCCTCGTAGCATCACCCCCTCATCCACCGTCGTAGCATCACCCCCCTCAACCACCCTCATAGCATCACCCCCCTCCCATTCCTAATCATAACATAATTATGTTTGTCTGTTATGTTACCTTGATTTAAAAATATTGCACTAGTCAGGACAATTTACATTAAATCTAATAAAGCATTACATGATGCGTTTCCCAAACATTATACATCGTTACGTTTCCAAAATGTAAAATTCATAAAACACACATAATTTTGAACAAAACCCTAATTTAAAGTATGTTGTGTTACCGATATTTGTCCATTGTGTTAGCCTCATTATAGTAACACAAGTATGTGTGTCTGTTATGTTATCTAGTTTTGAAAATGTTG